TAATTGTGCACAGATCGTCCAAAAGTTTATCGTGTGTGAAGCAATTTCGTTTTTTTTCTATAGAAACTGGGATACATGTCATCTCATTTCATATGGTTTTAGTAATCCTTTCCTATAAACCAGGTTTTAGTAATCTTTTCCTATAAACCAAAGGAGGCCTTATACGGTTCTGAATTTCTTCACAGTTTTCTTTATAAAACATTAAAATTACCATCTTGCTAAGTTTTGTCTAAAACATGTTCATAAGGTTCTGATAGGTGGCATATGTGGCAGTGGCGGTGGCACCCCGACCTTCAAATTCACGGCCACCTCGGACGCTGGCAAGGCGTTGCAGAAAAAGTAGACATCGAGAGAGAAAGAGAGATGGATTTCAAGCACTATTTACCTCTGCCCGATGCTCTGGCCTTCAGCAGTAAAGCCACACCATCGGCTGCCAAATACTGTCCTGAATGTCTCCTTCTAAATTCTTCTATGCTCTCCCTCTCCCCCCAAAACCATTCAAAAACACATCACTACCCCCAACATCACTACAGTTTATGCTGGAGCTTGGCTGATTCTGTTTCCCAACCAACACTCCACTTGATTTATTTTAACAGCAAAAAGAGAGAAAGCTTATTACTTTCAGGCTCAGTTATGTCTGAACTGCACATTCTCTAGGGCCCGATAATTTTTGTTGTCATGTCGAGCTCTAGCTGTATATCATGACCTTGGAATGTTGCAACTAATAAACATTATGCTTGCTGATTGGCGTCTCCTGATAGGCCAAGCTAATCAGGCCAATTAGCATAAAGCCAACCACCAAATTATAATACTCCCATTCGCCAACCATCACTTGAGCTTCAGAGATAAAGAAACAGCCGTAGACATACTCCCTCTAGCCTCTAGGCATTTGGAGAGGTAGATAAGAAGTTGCAACCTCCATTGGCAATTCCACAAATACATCATTCAGACATAGACCGAGAGTCGTCCATAGGTTCGTCCTACACAGACAAACACAGCCATGGTGGAGGACTTCACATTCCCTACCATGCCACCGGTGCCGTGCAGCGCCAAGAAGCTCCCTTTCCCTCACTTCACTTCGCCGCCGCCATGGTTCGTCGTCCCGGTCGACGCGGGAGCGTACGACCATCACCGGCGGTGCTTCTCGGCCACCGAGCAAGCCAACAACGACGTCTACCCGGGGCCGGGGGGGCGCTCCGAGAGGTTCGCCGTCATGGAGGAGCACAAGATGGACATGCTGTGGGAGGACTTCAACGAGGAGCTGGCCCGGGCGCCGCAGCCGTGCCCACTGAGCATGGAGTGGTCGAGTGAGGCGTGGCACGCCGGTGAAGGCGACGGAATACCATCCCGGTATGTGGATGTGGTGGCCGCCTCCGGTACCGGCAGCAGCGTGGTCCGGCGAAGGAGACTGAGCCTGATGATGATGCTCAAGCTGCTCAAGAAGCTCTTCTTGGCACGCAAGTCCAGCACCACCTCAAGGAAGACGCCACCAAACTGACAACAGTTTGGATGCGAGAATTACATAGATGCGTGCATAAATCAATCTCAGGTGTATATATAATATCGCATTGTCGATCGATAGATACATCTTTCTGAATCAATCTTCTAGCTTCTCACTTGCTTCTTTTCCCTCGTTTGCGCGGCTCTTCAGAGCTTTGTGCTGCTCAATTCTGGCTATGGGTTCTGTTTGAAATTATCATGGTTTGGCATGTTCATAGATTGGAAAACATTTCGGATTTCAGAACCTTAAGTTAGTTTGGAAGACTGAAAAGATGATTCACCCTTTCTTCTTTGGCATTCATCAACCATCATGCAAAACATGGGTAGTGCAGGCACCCACTAACAGTTTAGTGGAAATCATCATGGCAGAATTAATCGAGTCACCTATCACAATGGTTTTGCATCTGTGACTTGACACGGCAGCTAAACGGACAAAGAAGTCAGTTTGAACTAATGAAAATGGCATCAAGAGATTCCTCATCTTTCCACAAGGAAATCATCCCATCCTACTAGTGCTAGATTTTGCTAATTTATCATAAAGAAACAAAAACAGCTTTAACGAGATAAAACTTTATTCATTACAAATACAAAGGATCTCCAAAATACAAACCAGCCCCACTTGCGTAATTCATACTACTAGTGCTTAAGCGGATGATAAACACCCATGGAAGATAAGCAACAAGCCCAGGAATGGATATGTGTGGGGGACGCACCAACAAACTGGTTGTGGTTGGTGCCAACTCCCAAGTGGACAGCGAAAAACAGTTGTGCAGAATGTAATGCAGTCAGCTTGGGGTCATTTGCAATGCATACCAATCTGCACTTGCTTGGTAGGTATTGCATCACACAAGATAAGATTCTATTCTACAAGCTAAAGGTAGTTAGTCATGACAGAGTACCCAATTCACCAACGAGAGTAATACCATAATCAAATCACAAATAACCTGTGACTAGCCACAAATGCTAAGCAACAGGATAATGACATCATATGATCTGGCGGATTAACTGCTGACTGGAATCATATCCAACATCCTAATTGCACACTAGCTTGTAGAGGGAGCTAACTAACTATTACAGTATCAGTTGACCTTATTTCTGTGCATCGTGTTCATACAAACTTGTTTTTTTTTTTGTACCGTAGAACATGCAGGGTGAACACTAATGCAATTCAAAAACACTTCCCTATCATAAATGCAGATTGGTGTACAACAAGGCCAGGGTTCACTTATTTTCTTGAATTACATCTGCACATGAGCATAAGAAATACAAAGGATAATACAGTTATACGGCAATATCAGTATCCCTCTTAAAGAGATGTGTTTGACAAACTCAGCACCGAACAACTAGCAGCCACAAGACCTTTCTGCAGGTTGAGGATGGCGCATTATTATTTCTCCCAGTCATACTGCAAGTAGGGAAAATAATAATAATTAAGCCAATCAAATTGATGAGCATGTGACTTCCTTTCATCATATCATAGCACCCATACTGAAACCAAATATGATAGGCTGGAGTCAACAGGATCCACTAAGTAAAGTAAACTTCAGTATCTACATATACTGTACCATGATGGATTAGAGAAACTGATATCCTGATTAACTCCCAAGCAGACCTAAAATTACCTGCAAAGACAAACATCCTCTGTCAACTAGATTACATTTTTTATTCAACCTTCAAATGAAACAGAAAACAGTTGTCAGTAGCATAATCAGCACACAATTTTGTATATAACATAATGGCTAGTCCACTCTATGGTCAAGTTGTTATGGTGCTTATCTACAGTCTCAAAATAGACCACAGTGCCAATAAGAGGTTGATTCTGCTTGCCGAATCTGACCATGTGCTGGTTTCACGCTGCAATTTAGTTATGTTGATTACGCTGACACTTCCATCAGTCTTGAAAGTATCATATTTTCCTCAACTTATATTTCTTTTTAGTGCATTCTTATAGTTCATCCACAAATATATCTACAATCTTTGGTTTCTCAAGGATATCTATACAGACCTGTAATGAGATGCCAAAGAAGACAAGCTAATGTTTACACCTGGAGATACATAGATGATAAATTATATTTTTAGCCTGTGCCTGGTCTTGATAGATTTATCACATACCAAAGTACACAGTGATAGAAAAAAGAAATTATCTAAACAAAGCATCTCCTTGTAACCAAAATAGACATTCCAAAAAGGACGTCATTGTAACCAAAGTAGAGATTCACAATGCAGCACCATCTAACAGGTAACTAATGTACACATAAACATAAGGGAGAAGTATATTTTTCGTCCCCCAACTCTTTCGAAAGTATAGAATTGGACCCTCAACTAGAAAACCAGCAATCTTTAGTCCCTCAACTTTTAAAACCGGATAAGTTTAGTCCCTCGTGTCACAACGAGTGGTTACCTACCGACGAAAGTGGTTTTGACTTAGCTGGCAAGTGTGGGCCCCACCTCATCCACCCATATTTGTTCACTTTAATTCTTATGGCAGCCGACATCACGCGGCAGCACCGGCGGCGGGCAGCGGCTAGGCCGGACGAAGGGCGGTGCCACCACGAGCGACGGCAGCTCAGTAACTGACTACGCGGCGTGACGAGTGGGATGAGCAATATCCGTCGCTGGTGTACTAGCTAATGTAGTTCTTCATGCTGTGATTTTGTTGTGCAAAGCTAGCCCTGTGCTAGCTCATCAATCAGGTCGCGTATAAAGCATCCTGATGCGCTTCTGGCCGGTGCGTTTGGCCCCGAAGCAATCAGCTAGATCAATTAACTCGCATACGTGAGCTAACTCTCCTAGTAGACCAGTCTGCTTTACTTTGCTGCATACGTGCGAGTGCATCGACCTGCAGCATGTCTACTACGAGCGGACCACATCACGCCAGCGCTGCAAGTCACCTCTCGGCGTCCATCAGACCGGCACCCGGATGGTCGCGCCATCAGCAAAGTCTAACAGGCATATGGTGCAGCCGGCTCGACAGACGCGTGGTGCTACTGCTCTGCTTGTGCGCCGGTGAGACTGCGGCGTAAGTGGTGAAGGGGAACGCGAGGGACCTCGGCAACGCGCAGCTTTCCCCTGCTCCTCAGTTTTTACACTATACCACTCCAGGATTGGCGGAAAACCACCCACAACCACACGAGGGACTAAACTTATCTGGTTTTGATAGTTGAGGGACTAAGTTTTGCTGGTTTTGATAGTTGATGAGGGACTGAGTTTTGCTGGTTTTGAACTTAAGGGACCATTTCTATACTTTTGATAAAATAGAGGGACGAAAAATATACTTTTCCCTAAACATAAACATAAAACCTTTCTTTTTCTGTAAGCGGGCTAATGATAAATTTATTCAGATAGAAACCTCAACCACACGATTCTGACTTCTATTTAGAATTTCTAGCTTCCAAGTGCTGATATAGAAACATAGATGGAATTTGTGAACTGCAGAATGTCAATAAATTTTGTAACTGTAAAGATAAATCTTACCTTTATTGAGTGATAGTCTTATTACATCACTTTGAAATGTTTTTGAGCAAGCCCGACAAAGAACCACAATGTGTTGATTTGTACTCGCATTGCTCACAACAAGATTGTAGTGACTGAATAACTTTCAAATACCTGTTAAAAAGCAAACATGATTAGCACTCCTAATTGGTAATGGGTTCTTCTGACAACTTGGGCATCTTCGCCTCATCCGCCCTTGGCGCATGGGCTGGAGGAGGTGGTGCCACAATGCTGCTCGGAGCAGCATTATTTGAGCTTGGGTGTTAACAAGGGAGAAGTAGTGCTTGTATTCTTATGAAAAATCTCCAAGAAACAAAAATTTCTTATGATGAATTAATAGGTGATGCAATCAAAACACCAACATATTATAAAATACTCCCTCCGTCCCATAATGTAAAACGTTTTTTTGACACTACACACGGAGGGAGTAGGAAATATTGATAATGCTGTCTAGCAATGGTCATGTGCTGATACGCAATAAGCACCGAAAAAATAAGGGCCATTTGCATTTCTGTCCCTAACTCGAACCACCTACTCAGATTTGTCCCTAATTTCAAAGCATGCTCAAATTTGCCCCTCTGCCGTTAGGTGCGCTTATAGAAATGCCCATCCGTGCCGTTTCCGTCCGGTCAAAGCTGTTTGACCGGTATCTGGCCGTTTCTTTGACAATTTTGCCCCTGTCTTCGTGTGTCACTTGCCGGTAGGACCCACTCCTTTTTTTTTGAAAAAAAACTTTCTCTCACCCCATCTCTCTCACACACACTTACATGTGGGTCCTAGCTAGACAAAAAAATATTTTTCTTTCTCTCACCTCTCTCTCCCTGCCGAACGACGGGCCGACGCCACTCTCTCTCTCAACTCCGGTGAGAGTGCCGAACGGGCGCCACCTCTACCGCTGGCCTCCCCTGACGCCGCATCCTCTCGCCCTCGTTCTCTTTCTGCCGCTAGCCTGCTTTCTCTCTCCCGCCCTTGAGCCCTCTCCCGCAAGCACGCTGGAGAGTGAGCTGTCGCCGTCGTCGGTCAAGAACGTGGCCAAGGGCAACCCCAAGCCCCGCCAACTCGCCGGGAAGCTCTTATGACATGAACGCATCCTACCAGCCTACTAATTCGACCAGAGACACCAAGGATTGAGCACTACAACGCATCTTCCCCGCCTCCAGTCTCGGATTGCCGCCTTCGATTCGACGCCATTGAGGCACGCCGGTCGATTCCGCCTGCTCCCCGGGCATCGTGATGTACCTAAGAAGACGTGGGCTTCCTCCACAGCAAGCGCCATGAGCTCGGGTTGTCTTCCCTGCGAGCTCCGAGCTCTGCCATGGCCGCCATCGTCGAAGTCCTCGCTCTAGCCTTCTGTTAGCCCGAGCGGCGTAGCCATCGTGATCCTAGTGATGGAAGATCCCCCACACAGCCTTTTTCCCTCTCCCTCCCGCTCGCATGGAAGCTCCCCCACTTGCGCCGCCCAGAGCCGCCGCGAGAATGGTCGCCGCCGTTTGTTCCGGCGACTATATGGTCCGACGACAATATCCCTGCACGCGGTAGATCGAGGGCTATCGCCTGGTCCTCTCGGTCGGCCTCCTTGCGGCCTCCCTGTGTGCCTCCGGCGTGGGAATTGGTCGTCGCCGGCGACCGTCGGCCTAAGCCACGGTTTTTAATTGAGGAAGCCTAATCCACTGTTAATTAAAAAATTATTTGAGACAATACTGATAAGCCAATGGCATGTGGGCCTAATATCTAGTTTGACTAGTCCTTTTCTATTTTTCATTTTAGTTTTTAGCTAGGACCCACGTGGAATGTGTGAGAGATAGGTTTTTTACCAAAACAATTGGAGTGGGTCCCATCCGTAAGAGACACAGGGAGACAGGGGCAAGATTGTCAAAGAAACGGCCAGATACCAGTCAACCCACTTTGACCGTACGGAAACGGCACGGAAGGACATTTCTATAAGTGCATCTAACGGCAGAGGGGCAAATTTGAGCACACTTCGAAATTAAGGGCAAATATGAGTAGTGGGTTCCAGTTAGGGACACAGATGTAAAAGACCCAAAAAATAAACATGGAGTGCCACAACAAGACTCAACTAAACACGCTCACGCTATCAGAGCAAATAAATAAATGTAGGAAGTCCACCGTGGCATGAGGTCATGATGGCTCCTAAATCCCAATTCTTCCTAGGTCCAGCTCCAATGCTTACCTAGGTTTCCCCAATCCCAATACCAGGACATGTCCAAGTGTCAGCTCGAATTCCCCAACCCCCCAGTTACTAGCCAGAATTATGCATGAATCCCTTGCAGCAATCGCAAGAGCCAAGAGAAGGAGAGAGGACGGGGCCGTACTTCTTGGAATCGAAGAGGTTCTTGGAGAGGCAGGCCTGGATGTCGCACGCCTCCTTCTTGCACGGCTCCTTGCTGGGCTGCGCCATCTCGCTCCTCCTCTTGCTGCCGCCGCTGCTCCGACGGCGGTGTTGGGGTTCCTTTGAGAAGAGAAATCGAACCAACAAGTCAAAGAATCAAAAAAAAAATTGAGACACGGTCAAAGAATCAATTGAAAGACGACAGACGGTGATTTTGTAGCCGAGCCGCTGGTTGGCCCGGCCCAGAGTGAGTGAGAGTGGGGTTGGGCTCTGCCCGGCCCATCCCGCGCTCCGTTGTGTGGCCAACCGAGACCCAGAGAGGTACTAGTGGCGATGGCGAGGCGACTAGCGAGAGGAAGAGGTTTTCCGGCTCCTCTTGTTCAACCGAGGGAGGATAAGAGGAGAGCGAGAGAGAGAGAGAGAGAGAGAGAGAGAGCTTCGACTGAGGTGATGGAGCTTCTGCGGATACCACTATCCCTACCGATTCTTGGAGGTAGGACGGTAGATCCACTTGCTTCATCGCTTGCTGATTCATGCTTCCACTAGTAGATGCCACTACCTGCTTGTGTAAATGCCCAGCCGTAACTAGGTCCCCACTTTACCAGAGTTCTTGGTATCCTTTTGATGCTCATCTAAGTCTGTTTTCTGTTTGTACGTGTATGGCAGTAACCTGACCTCTATAACATATTTAGACAGCTGCCTGCCACTTCTCTCAGGAAGTGTGTTTCCTTTGCTCAGACAGTACTGTGTCTATGGAACACATGATTCCCTAACCTGGAGCAGCTTACAAACCACCAGGAGAAAGCAGAACCTGAATGGGGGTCGGTGGTCTGCACAGTGTGCGACGAGTCACGATGGAGCTTCTGTCTCACATGTAAATGGTGCTCCAAAGGATTCGCCTTTGCCGGATAGTTTGCTTCGTGATGCTCGCATCCTCTATTGTGCATCTCCTGCCATGGGTCATAACAAGGTAAGCCATCTCCAATGCTTTGCTGCTTTCACATCCACGTCACAAGTATTATATATATGTAGATGCTGGGTGATTTGAGGTATGAAATTTTGATCAAACTGAGGGGAATAAAGGTTATAGCGTTTAAAATACAAATGATATCCTATCAATTGTTTGTCGATTGGGCTCCTAATCCAACTATGTTTTGCTACTTCAGTCTGTTAAGAGAATAAGTTACTGTCGAGCTATATTATATACAATCCTTGCTTAGGGACATCCTGGTATCAAATCATACTCTGTAAGTTGTGTGTCCAAACTCCAAAGTGTAAATTATGTAAAATAAATGGTACATCGTAGCATAATCATGACATGTCAAATTGTATTGTCTGATTTATATCCTAATATACCCAGTATAATGGTATTTAGGAAGCACATCCAGAATCAAACAAAAGAGTGCCAGCAATAGTTGATGCTCTCGAAAAATTGGAGCTTACACCAAAGGTATGTAAGCAACAAAAAAAACTTTGCCTTCTTATACCTTTTGTGATATTATATTTATAAGTTTTTAACAGATGTATTTTTCCCCTTGTCTTTTAAATTTGTCTGTGCATATACTTCAGTTAAAAGTGGCACGCTCTTTTTTTTGTCAAAAGTATGCAGTTGCATGTCCTTGCATGCTAAAAATGGACTATAGAGATAGGTAAACAACAACAAAGAAAAAGATACTCCCTCCGTTCCATATTAGCTGTCGCTTGTTCATAATAGAACGGAGGGAGTACAGTTTAAGTGTTTTCAGTTAAATTCGATAAGTTTTGCATATTTCTTTCTCATATCCTCATCTGTACTGTATCACATCTCACTGAAAAAATCAATGTTCTAACATGAGCTTGTAACTATATGACATCTTTTTTTTATTTTGTGTATCCAGCATCGGGGTTCACAGGTTCTTGAAATCCAAAATTTCTACCCTGCTTCACTTGATGATGTTGCACGAGTTCATTCAAGAACATACATCACTGGACTTGAAAAGGTAATTGCCATCAAGCGTTTTTGTTGTTGTCGTAGTCCTACTTTGCAGAGAAGAAAAAGAAGAATTCATAGCAATTGCTTCTGATCTGCATTACCTTTTCCCAACTTAATAGAAAATTAAAATCTTGTTAGTTGAAAATATATCAAATCGACTATAAAAAATAGCTTTAAAGAGATCACTATTGCAGGCTATGAGTAAGGCTTTGGATGAAGGTTTGATATTCATCGAAGGAACTGGACCAACATATGCTACACAGACTGTAATGCTCTATGCACTTTCTTAATTCTTTTTCTTTTTTCTAAGCCTTTCAGAGGCAGTCTTCTGTGCACTTTACTGTTTCATGAATGCACTGCCAGAGGCTATACTTATAAACCTTCTATTTTCAGTGCTCTTATACTGATGGTATGATTCATTCCTATCAAATCAAGAGAAATTTTGGTCTTGCCTTCAAAAAAAAAAGGAAAAAAAATGTATTATCTAGTGACCTGGTGATTAGTTGAGGTCTTGATATTCATGCTGTGAATGTTAGGTAGAGCTGCATAGCTTGCTGCCTGTAAACATGTCACCTAGCAACTCAGAACTATTCTGGCACCTCTCAATCTCTCAGTGCAAGTTGAAAGGAACATTAGGACAAACCATTGTTTAAACAATGTAACAAATACATTATTTAATCTATTGAAATGAACAGAGTTTCGCTTATGCGATGGAGCATTTTGTGCCCCTTTTTTATAAACAAAATGGAACAGATAGTGAAATTATTAGTCTTACTTATGATAGAGGAAGTCCAAGATGATATTGTTGTGTACAGTGTTAATAAGAGAATGACTTCTTATGATAAGATTATTTGAATTATTTCTCAAAGATAGTTTGTGCATTCTTTGACTAGGAGGATAGTTCATACTTTCCTTTGACCAGGAGAGAGTTCTTAGTTTTCTTTGACCCGGCAGATAGTTCGTACTTTACTTCCTTAATTCATATTATGTACAATTGCACTCATCAACATTTAGATATTCCTTCTCTTTCTCTAAGTAATTTCATAGTTCATACTTTCCCTTGACCAGGAGAATAGTTCTTAATTTTCTTTTAACTCGGCGGATAGTTCATACTTTACTTGCTTAACTGATACTCCCTCCGTTCCACAATGTAGCGCATATAAATTTTTCTAGAAGTCAAACTTTATAAACTTTGACCAAGTTTGTAGAGAAAATCATATACATCTAGAATACCAAATACGTGTGCTTAGATACATCACAACACATACTTTCATATTATATACATTTGGTATTGTAGATATAAATAGTTTTCTCTATAAAATTGGTCAAAGTTTATAAAGTTTGACTTTGTAGAAAATCTATATGCGCTACATTATGGAACGGAGGGAGTATTATGTACTCCCTCTTTCCCATAATATAAGACGTTTTTGCATGTCTCATATTATGGGACGGAGGGAGTACAATTGTACTCATCAAAATTTAGATATTCCTTTTCTTTCTCTAAGTAATTTCATTGTTTATGTAGACTTTCACAGAATCACTTCTTTCAGCTGGTGCTGGAATTACATTGGTTGATTCAGTGGTAACTAACTTTCTTCCAGTTGATTTCCTCGGTGGTTTCAGTGTGTTTCTGATTTCATGATTTAGTAAATTTTCCTTTGCAGTGCTCGTTTGCCAAGAAATGTTGTATGTTTTCCTAGGTTGCAGCATCAAAGCTGGGCCTAAGTCCACCTCTTGGATTTGCGCTAATAAGGCCACCCGGACACCATGCTGTTCCTGAAGGTCCCATGGGCTTTTGCGTCTTTGGGAACATTGCAGTTGCAGCTCGGTACGCTCAGTGTCAACATGGATTGAAGCGAGTAATGATAATAGATTTTGATGTTCACCATGGCAATGGCACATGTGATGCCTTTTATGACGATCCAGACATCTTCTTCCTCTCAACCCACCAGGTCCATCAGACTATCACCTTACATACTCACTGCTGACTTATTTTACCATTACCATGATAGTCATTTTCTTTTCTGGATTTGGTGTATGTAGCTAGGAAGCTATCCCGGTACTGGTAAGATGAATCTAATTGGTCAGGGCAGTGGCGAAGGAACAACGCTGAACCTGCCATTGCCCGGTGGCTCAGGTGACTACTCAATGAGGTGCGCCTTTGATGAGGTCATTGCTCCATCTGCGCAGCGGTTCAAGCCCGATATCATCCTCGTTTCAGCTGGGTGAGTTCCTCAGAACCACATTATTATCTTGAGAACAGAAACATGCCAAAAAGGAAAGTTAAGATTCTCTGGAGTTGTTCAAATACACGGTGGCTTCTCATTCTGAATCTCAATCATGTAGACACTGAAAATTGTTTATAGTATTATTATATCTAAACTATTGATGTTCCACAAATACACGAAGTTGACTCCACCCGCCCTTCTATCAGCTACGACGCGCACGTGCTGGACCCTCTAGCGGGTCTGCAGTTCACGACGGGCACGTTCTACATGCTGGCGTCGAGCATCAAGCAGCTGGCCAGGGAGCTGTGCAGCGGCCGCTGCGTCTTCTTCCTGGAAGGTGGTTACAACCTGCAGTCGCTCTCCAGCTCTGTGGCTGACACCTTCCGTGCGTTCCTCGACGAGCCCAGCCTCGCTGCTCAGTTCGACGACCCGGCAATGTTGTACGAGGAGCCGACGCGGAGGATCAAGGAGGCGATCGAGAAGGTCAGGCATCTTCACTCGCTGTAGGTTACGCGCCGGGAGATGAGGTGTAGACTCTACTGCTTGCAGCGCACGCACCATGAAATCAGATCACGTGTTGCATTTGCAGGTTCAGAGAGTGGGTGTGTGTGTTTGAAACATCTGCTTGCTGGTCATACACACTTGGTTAACTGCTGTCAAAAGCATTGATTTATTAGGGATCCTACACACATAATACAACTGAGTGTGCAACTGGGTCATACATAGAATTGTGTGTGCGTGCGTGTGTATGTATTTATTGTGGATCCTGCGTGTATATAATACTGCATTTTGCCCTTCCAAACAAAAATTACGTTATCTATCTCTAACTCCTTATATCTATCTTTAAACGCTACTATACTTGTAACAATCTGAGCATTATCGATGATGGAGAAGATCACTAGAGCAAGAGATGAAGTGGAGGCCGGTGCGTAAACTGATGTTATCATTCTTTGCTTCCGCAAAGATGTTAACGAGTGGCCACCATCAGGCACAAGGAGTGTTGATGTCGCATTAGATTTGTCTCTGAATTGTTGAGTGCAAACGGCTCTTGGAATTATGGTCTGTTGCAAAATTATTTCATGCCGGCCGATGTAGTTGAGATTATTAAGATTCGAGCTTCACCTAGGCAGGAGGCCTTGGGGACCAGGCAAGTATGGAGTTTTTACAGTAAATAGTGCTTATCAATTAGCCTTTGAAGAGGTGTACAGAGATACTGCTACATGGTCTAGTTCTAGACCGGATGGACGCCGTGATTGCTGGAAGTTGATTTGGGCTTGTGAGGGTTTTTTTTTTTTTTGAAAAAACTTCCAATCTATTCATTTCCAATCATGGCAGTACAACGAACACCGGAAATAAAAATTACATCCAGATCCGTAGACCACCTAGCGACGACTACAAGCACCAAAGTGAGACGAAGGCGCGCCGCCGTCATCGCCCCTCCATCGCCGGAGCCGGGCACAACTTGTTGTAGTAGACAGTCGGGAAGTCGTCGTGCTAAGGCCCCATAGGACCAGCACCCCAGAACAGCAATCGCCACCGATGAAAAATAACAAAGATCGGAAGGATCCAAACCGAAGACACACGAACGTGGACGAACAACGACGAGATCCGAGCAAATCCACCAAAGATAGATCTGCCGGAGACACACCTCCACACGCCCACCAACGATGCTAGACGCACCGCCGGAACGGGGACTAGGCGGGGAGACCTTTATTCCATCTTCAGAGAGCCGCCGCCGTCTCGCCTTCCTGAGTAGGACACAAACCCTAACAAGATTGAAAAAAACAACCCTCCCGCCGGCCCTTGCCAGGATCCACCGCGCCTCCATGGCCCTAGGGCCACCGGAGACGAGGCTGTTGGGGAACGTAGTAATTTCAAAAAAATTCCTACCCACACGCAAGATCATGGTGATGGCATAGCAACGAGAGGGGAGAGTGTTGTCTACGTACCCTCGTAGACCGTCAAGCGGAAGCGTTATGACAACGCGGTTGATGTAGTCGTACGTCTTCACGACTCAACCGATCCAAGCACCGAACGTACGGCACCTCCGTGTTCAGCACACGTCCAGCTCGATGACGTCCCCCGGGCTCCAATCCAGCGAAGCGTCGGGGATGAGTTCCGTCAGCACGACGGCGTGGTGACGATGATGATGTTCTACCGGCGCAGGGCTTCGCCTAAACTCCGCGACGATATGACCGAGGTGGATTATGGTGGAGGGGGGCACCGCACACGGCTAAGGAACGATCCGTAGATCAACTTGTGTGTCTATGGGGTGCCCCCCTCCCCCGTATATAAAGGGGGAGAGGAGGAGGGGGGCGGCCAAGGGGGAGGCGCGCCCTAGGAGGGGGAAACCTACTCCAAGTAGGTTTGCCCCCTCCCTTTCCTATTCCAAGAAGGAGGGGGAAGGAAGGAGTGGGAGAGGGGAAAGGCAAGGGGGCGCCGCCCCCCCTTCCTTGTCCTATTCGGACTCAAGGGGAGGGGGCGCGCCTCTTGCCCTGGCCAGCCCCTCTCTCTCTCCACTAGGGCCCAACAAGGCCCATTAGTTCCCGAGGGGGTTCCGGTAACCCTCCGGCACTCCGGTTTTTCTCCGAAAACACCCGGAACACTTCCGGTGTCCGAATATAGTCATCCAATATATCAATCTTTATGTCTCGACCATTTCGAGACTCCTCGTCATGTCCGTGATCACATCCGGGACTCCGAACAACCTTCGGTACATCAAAACTTATAAACTCATAATAAAACTGTCATCGTAACGTTAAGCGTGCGGACCCTACGGGTTCGAGAACTATGTAGACATGACCTAGAACTATTCTCGGTCAATAACCAATAGTGGAACCTGGATGTTCATATTGGTTCCTACATATTCTACGAAGATCTTTATCGGTCAAACCGCATAACAACATATGTTGTTCCCTTTGTCATCGGTATGTTACTTGTCCGAGATTCGATCGTTGGTATCCAATACCTAGTTCAATCTCGTTACCGGCAAGTCTCTTTACTCGTTCCGTAATACATCATTTCATAACTAACTCATTAGTTACAATGCTTGCAAGGCTTAGGTGATGAGTATTACCGAGAAGGCCCAGAGATACCTCTCCGACAATCGGAGTGACAAAACCTAATCTTGAATTATGCCAACTCAACATGTACCTTTGGAGACACCTGTAGAGTACCTTTATAATCACCCAGTTATGTTGTGACGTTTGGTAGCACACAAAGTGTTCCTCCGGTAAACGGGAGTTGCACAATCTCATAGTTGCAGGAACTTTGTATAAGTCATGAAGAAAGCAATAGCAACATACTAAACGATCAAGTGCTAAGCTAACGGAATGGGTCAAGTCAATCACATCATTCTCCTAATGATGTGATCCCATTAATCAAGTGACAACACATGCCTATGGTTAGGAAACATAACCATCTTTGATCAATGAGCTAGTTCAAGTAGAGGCATACTAGTGACACTATGTTTGTCTATGTATTCACACATGTATCATGTTTCCGGTTAATACAATTCTAGCATGAATAATAAACAATTATCATGAAATAAGGAAATAAATAATAACTTTATTATTGCCTCTAGGGCATATTTCCTTCAGTCTCCCACTTGCACTAGAGTCAATAATCTAGATCACATCACCATGTGATTAACATCGATAGTTCACATCATCATGTGATTAACACCCATAGTTCACACCGCCATGTGACCAACACCCAAAGGGTTTACTAGATTCAGTAATCTAGTTCACATTGCTATGTGATTAACACCCAAAGAGTACTAAGGTGTGATCATGTTTTGCTTGTGAGAGAATCTTAGTCAACGGGTCTTTCACATTCAGATCCGTTATGTATTTTGCAATTTTCTATGTCTACAATGCTCTGCACGGAGCTACTCTAGCTAATTGCTCCCACTTTCAATATGTATCTAGATCGAGACTTAGAGTCATCCAGATCGGTGTCAAAACTTGCATCGACGTAACCCTTTACGACGAACCTTTTGTCACTTCCATAATCGAGAAACATATCCTTATTCCACTAAGGATAATTTTGACCGCTGTCCGGTGATCTACTCCTAGATCACTATTGTACTCCCTTGCCAAACTCAGTGTAGGGTATACAATAGATCTGGTACACATCATGGCATACTTTATAGAACCTATGGCCAAGGCATAGGGAATGACTTTCATTCTCTTTCTATCTTCTGTTGTGGTCAGGTTTTGAGTCTTACTCAATTTCACACCTTGTAACACAGGCAAGAACTCTTTCTTTGACTGTTCCATTTTGAACTACTTCAAAATCTTGTCAAGGTATGTACTCATTGAAAAAACTTATCAAGCGTCTTGATCTATCTCTATAGATCTTGATGCTCAATATGTAAGCAGCTTCACCGAGGTCTTTCTTTGAAAAACTCCTTTCAAACACTCCTTTATGTTTTGCAGAATAATTCTACATTATTTCCGATCTACAATATGTCATTCACATATACTTATCAGAAATGCTGTAGTGCTCCCACTCACTTTCTAGTAAATACAGGCTTCACCGCAAGTCTGTATAAAATTATATGCTTTGATCAACTCATCAAAGCGTATATTCCAACTCCGAGATGCTTGCACCAGTCCATAGATGAATCGCTGGAGCATGCACATTTTGTTAGTACCTTTAGGATTGACAAAACCTTCTGGTTGCATCATATACAACTCTTCTTTGAGAAAACCATTAAGGAATGCAGTTTTGACATCCATTTGCCAGATTTCATAAATTGTGGCAATTGCTAACATGATTCGGACAGACTTAAGCATCGCTGCAGTTGAGAAAATCTCATTGTAGTCAACACCTTGAACTTGTCAAAAACCTTTTTGCGACAAGTCGAGCTTTGTAGATAGTAACACTACTATCAACGTCTGTCTTCCTCTTGAAGATCCATTTATACAATATGGCTTGCCGATCATCGGGCAACTCCACCAAAGTCCACACTTTGTTCTCATACATGGACCCCATCTCAGATTTCATGGCCTTAAGCCATTTTGCGGAATCTGGGCTCATCATCGCTTACTCATAGTTCGTAGGTTCATCATGGTCTAGTAACATGACTTCCAAAATAGGATTACCGTACCACTCTGGTGCGGGCCGTACTCTGGAAGACCTACGAGGTTCTGTAGTAACTTCATCTGAAGTTTCATGATCATCATCATTAGCTTCCTCACTAATTGGTGTAGAAATCACTGGAATTGATTTCAGTGATGAACAATTTTCCAATTCGGGAGAAGGTACAGTTACCTCATCAAGTTCTACTTTTCTCCCACTCACTTCTTTCGAGAGAAACTCCTTCTCTAGAAAGGATCCATTATTAGCAACGAATGTTTTGCCTTCGGGTCTGTGATAGAAGGTGTACCCAACAGTTTCCTTTGGGTATTCTATGAAGACGCACTTCTCTGATTTGGGTTCGAGCTTATCAGGTTGAAAACCTTTTTCATATAAGCATCGCAACTCCAAACTTTAAGAAACAA